TCGTACCTTTTTCCATTCGCTCTTTTATCACGATTCCACTTTTGCAGATCTTAGTATTTTTTATTTTTAAAGGTCAAGAGCGTCAAGATGAACGTCACCTACCTCAATCCGAGTTTCAGTACGACAGAAGAGTGAGCATTTTTCCAATTTTTTTTTCTACACCAGTCGATTCTTACCCTGATCCGAATTTTCCAGGTGTATACTCCGCCGAAAGACGCAATGGAGGTCGAAAATGGAGTTCTAACGCATTACGTCAACAAGAGTGACCTCCCTCTAACCTCTAAGACTCTTCAAGATCGAGTTCAACAGCGTTTAAAGGACATTGAACGTCGTCATCGTGGTGAGCCCGGCGTTGGTGGCGGTGGTGAGGGTAGTGATGGTCATTGGCGTGGACGCGGTGGATTTCGTGGGACTGGTGATCGTGGCTTCTATCCACGTGGGCGCAGTAGTGGCCCTCGGGGTGTCCCTCGTGGCTCTTGGCGCGGTTCGTGGCGTGGCGATGATGGTGGTGAATGGAGGGGTGGTCGTCGCGGTAATTGGTATGGAAATCGGTAGGCTAAAGATCCTATTCATTTATTATTTTGTTAGATAGCCCTCATTTGGATTTTACCATTTACCTTTCCTAGTGATCGCTATGGTGGTGATAGACGTGGTGGTGGTGTTGATGGAGGCCCAGATGACTTCCGCAAGCGTCCACGTCGCTACGATCGCTCGCGATCTCATTCCGCCTCTAGATCGCGTTCTAGGTCACCGGTGTCACGTTCGCGTCGGTCGAGGGACAGTCGATCGATGTCAAGGTCTCACTCCCGTTCGTACTCTCGCTCTATTTCGCGTTCGCCCTCGCCGTTCCCTAAGAAGTGAGTTTACTAACTTTTGAAGAAGTGGATTTAGTTGTTCGTCACCAGAAATAACTGAAAGCGGTGTATGTCATACCTATCCTAGTTTTTCGTTCATAAATTGGAACTCCAAGTTAAACCTTTTAGGTAGGTTCTTTGGCAAATATTCTCCATGTTACAAAATCCGACATTGCACCAGTTATCACAGCTCCTTTAAGTCAGCTACTGGGCTTCAGTTCTAGAGTAGCTTGACATTACAATTATGAAACAAACACGTAACTATCTGCACTGCTAGGTCTAACATTTCTGTTTATCGTCTCTGGTTCTTTTAGGCCTATTTCACGAGCACGCATAAAGACACCACCGCTGGCTCCGCTGACGAACCGTCAGAGCGACTCGGAGGAACAGATGGCAGATGTGGAGCAATTTGTAGCACAGTTGCAAGCCAAGCGCCAGTTGGAGGCCGAGCAGGCAGCAGCAGCAGCTGCTGCTGCTAACACTGCCTCGGATCAACCGCTCATTGGTCCCCAAATCCCTGGCAGCGCCTCTGCAACGGAGTAGTACTCGTCTCCTTGTGTGTGTACACCCGCTACCCATCTCTCACTCATCGCTAACCATTTCTAACTCTACCCTCCAGCCTCCACTGACCCGACCCTAAGTTCTTAAGAGCGATGCGGAGAGGGTTTTAATCAAAGTGTGTTTTTAAAGGGTTTTCTTTTATTCCCTGGGCGGTCGGTCGACGGGCCCGGTTGCCGTGGTACAGAGTAGTTCGGTTTTTGGATAGGGAAGATGAAACCGTCTGTTGTCTTGGTTGGTTTGAGTGACTGCTTGTTTAACCATACTCTCCGTTATTCTATTCAGCTCATACTCCGGCTGGTAGGCAGTTGCGAGGGCCATTTGAGCACCGCACTCACATTGTACGCAGCGGGGAAGGGGGTCGGTTTTTATTCTTCGGTGGTAGGGCTCTATCGGTCCTGGTGTTTCTTCCTCATTATGGTCGCTTGATTTACCATTGAGTTTTCATCAGTGGTGGAATTTTTTTTTCATTAGACAATGAAGGGATGGATTGTAGTGCGTGGCGTTGTTCTGATTGTTTCCGCGTACGGAGAGGAGTCGAATCTTATCAGTTAGTTTTGTATTGATGAAGGTGGAAAAAGTGCTGGTAATGTGTCAATGGATTGGTGTCATGCTAGGTCTGGCTCGGCATGAGTGTCCTTTCATCGAATTGGTCTCTCTGGGGTTACTTGCTTGGTGTACTTCAATGAACCCGCCGACATTCATTGAATTGCATTTCGCTATTTAGTAGGCGCTCTGGTGGGTAGTCACACCAGAGGAGCTGTTCGAAGGGTCGTGTTCCCATGGAGGGCGTTTAGTGTTCTAGGTAGGTGTAGCGTGATGTGGTAATATAAGAGTAGAGGGAGGCAGGAACTTTGTGACGCTTGAGCTTGCCATGGAATCCTTTTGGTCTAGAAAAATGTCGTTTCACCTTAAGGAGCAGCAATCACGAATGAAGGCCTACACATCTATGCTAAATTATGAATCCATGTTCGAACTAAAAGTTCCATCCACTTTTTGGCTATGCCTCCACCCAACCAAATTGCGAAAGAGTCCCTAGAATTGACTCACCAAAAAGGAAAAGCAGTTGTCAACATGTCACATGAAAGCTGAAAGCTAATTAGTTGAAGCCCTCTAGAAATAATCCACTTGGACTTCCATCAAACTGAGGCTAAAGGAGCAGTTGTTTGATAAGCACTTCGTTGTATGTTCCTTCTACAGAGTGTGAGAAAAGTTGTTTTTGTCGGTCAATGACGGAGCGAAAGGTGAGTGAGTGAATGAATGGGTGGAAAGGTGTGCACACATTAGACCCAGTCGAAAACGAAGGCAAGATGAGGCTGTTTGGGAGAACCAGCTTTTCCTATCCACCTATGGATCCATATGTGTTTTCACCTCGATGATAGGTTTTGAAGCCGGCGACGATTCATGGACGGGATTGTACGGACCCCCCTCATCTCTTGATGGGTCCAGACGTCTAAAAAATAATGATAGGTGATGGATCAGGAGGTTGAGAGGAGGAGGAGCAGAGAAACTTAATGCCACAGTCCATGTATAAGCATCTGT